TCCGTGGACAAACATTACAACATAAACCATAGTCCCATTACCTATGTTCATGTGGTAGGTAACATGGAAAAAAAAAACCAAGCGTGTGATGGCTTGTATGGATCGGTCTGTTTCACCAAACCTCCCAAGGAACTGTGTGGCTTGGGGTTAGCAAACTGTGTGAACGGAGCCTCTGGGGTTTAGCAACCCTGGTTTATAGTTCCAGGTCTTGCAACCTTAAAAGCCAGTTTCCAAGCAAGCAGGTGGCTGGTGCAATCACAGCAGAGAGGCAGCACTGAGAGGCGACGCTGCCAGTTTGGGCTCTGAGGTGGCGGCGCCGAGGACCGATTAGCCTCCTTTCAATCAAGTCCCATCCGCCAGTCCCTCTTCTTCTGCCCCACCTACCCTACAGGGTGGTTGTTAGGGGTAAGGCTGGGACAAGAGAGCACTCTCAATTCCTGAACAAAGGGCAGCAGATGAATCAACAAATACAAACGAGGAAATGCCCAAAAGGCAATGGCTTCAAGTTTGAAACCAAGCGTGTTTTCCGTTTGGCGTACCACCTCACAGTCCCCTTTCTAGCTGACCACTTTCCCATCTATGGTTTGACCTTCCTTACGAATGCTCCACTTCCCGTGATGACATTCAAGGCTCTACGTTATTAAAGCGCACAGCAATAATGGTTTGGCGTCGCCTCTCGAAAACAAGCCTGTGCTGGAAAGGAAGCGCGGCCAGGAGGTTTAAATGAAGGGCGGCGGAGAAACGAAACGGCCAGGGCAAACGCCGTCGCTGATATTCTCCATTCTGTGCAAAAATCAAGTTGGAGACGAAGCACGGTGTGCACGGGTTGCAAAAGATTGCTTGAAGGCGAGCTTTGTTGCAATTTTAATCATTCATTCGAAGGGCAGCCTGCACCTTAAATTGGTCTTAACAGGGAAAAAGAGAGGGGGACGCAGGCCACCCCCCAAAACAAACCTTGTTCAGGTGGGTCTTTAATAAGCCACTTGACAATCAAGTGAAAACAGATGTGAAATTCACAACCTCGTTTGCTCTAAACTTCCTAACTCACCCTGCTCGTTGCAAACAGTTGCCCAACGCAATTTTTCACCTTCTCCTCTCTGCCGGCCCATTTCTGTTTTCAAACCCTTCTCTGCATATTACGCAGATGCTGAGAAGACAATGTGTTTCCCATCATTATACCCTCTCGTGCTTGATCCAGTTGTTTGTATCTGACAAGGATTCTTGGCTAGCAGGAGGCAGGAAAGGGGGGTGGGGGGATCTTCTAAGGAAAGTGCTTTCAAACCCTCTTAAAAATTTGCCCTGTTTTAGCAAAATGTAATGTTCTTCGTGAACATTAAAGGAGAGAGAGAGAGAGAGAGTCCTGCATTTTCATCCATTTAAGGAATGAGAAATCACTACATTCAATAACAGGTCTAAATACAGTAATGGAACGGTCCCTTCTCGCGCCCCATAAGCCGGAAAATGTCACCGTGTACCAGACACGCAGGGTTGGCAGGGAGGGGAAAGAACAGCCAGGAACCCGTCTTTATTTATTTGCAAGACAAACGCTGCGGAATGTGGACACCTCCTAACTTAGGTTGTCACACGCTGCGTTTCGAGGGCTATCCCGTGCCAGAAAAGCAGGCGTCTCGAGAACAGGAAGCGATCGGGAATTATTCTGCCTTGCCCGTCCAGCACTGGCTGGGCAACTGGGCCTCACGCAGAGTGCCACAGATCTGAGATCCGAGCGTTGGGGTTGGCACTTCAAGGCCGGCCAACCCTTTGCGCAGGTGACGAAGAAGTCCAGAGGGTTTGTTTGGGGGAAAAACCGTTCCTGCTGGCGCCCCCGGGGCACGTCTGCCAGCCGGAGCAGACGGTTCCGAGATCAATGCCCCAGTTCTTCGACCTGCTATACGGCCACTTCTTCCGCTCCTAAATATAATTCAAATCAAATAAGTTTGCCATTATTCTCCCTGCGTTTTGTGTCTCTGCCTTTAAAGTATTTCCCTTAAGTAATTATTGGATTTGTTAAGTTGTGCGATCTCAGCAGACCCTTGCTCCTGTACTTTTAAATATGCTTCCCACAATATAATGGCCAGAACCCTGCTTTTTACAGTTCTTGCTCAATCTGCCAGGCATCCAGCTTGGTCAAGACTAGGAGTTGGGCGGTAGCGCCTGCTTCCTTGAACACAGTCGCACACACCGAGGGGATTTCACTTCCATTTGCCTACGTCTTCGCTGCTATGATAAATTTAAATAAAATCATGCTTGAGTTCCCCAACAAATAAACTTGGTGCTTTAGCTTTTAGAGAGGAAGTAATCGCTTCCTGGCAGAGCAAGGACATATCAGTGGAAGCTGTTTTGCAGAATCACAAATTCAAGAAGCCTCAAAAGCCATCTGCAACAGCCTCGCCGAAACACATTTGTGTGTGATTCAAACCCCCCAGTTTGGGTCATTCCCAAACCTTTAGCAGCTGAGAGCCAATTTCCCCTATGCTTCAGAAAATATTTTTCTGTCCCCTGTTAAACCCTGCTCTCTTCTCCAGGCTAGGCTCACCCAAGTCCTCCCCATTTGGGTGGCTTTCTGGATCAAACCAAGGGTTCATCTAGTCTCACCTTTTGCTAACGACAGGTAGTGGGTGAAACCACACTCACCTGGGTTCACCGACTAAGCAAGACTCACAAACTTACAATGATGGCTTGAGTAGGTTGTGTGAACTGAGTTGTATCCTGACAGACCAACTCACATAAAGTTTTGGGGAGGGAAATTCCAAAAAATAAAATAAAATCCTGTGTTCCGCCCCCGATTGGTCCGCCCCCGGCGCCTGATGGACCCGTCAGGGTTTCAGAGGGAGCTGGGGGATATTCCCGTGGACCTGCTGCACGGTCCAGCGGAGGCCTTGGCTGCTGCCTGGAATAGAGAAGCGGCCGGGGCGTTGGACAGGATCAGGCCTTTGCGGCCTCTCTT